ACTCTCTCTCTCACACACACACACACTCTCGCTCTCTCTCTCTCACACACACACACACACACACACACTCAATCTATCTCTCACACACACACACACACACAATCTATCTCTCACACACACACTCAATCTGTCTCGATCTATCTCACACACACACACACACACTCTTTATCTCACACACACACACTCTTTATCTCACACACACACACTCTTTCTCTATCTCACACACACACACAATCTATCTCTTATCTCTCTCACACACACACTTTCTCTATCTCTCTCTCACACACACACACAGACACACAAAATCTATCTCTATCTCTCTCACACACACACACACACACACACTCTTTCTCTATCGCACACACAAGCTTGATCAGGGCCGTCTCACCTCCACTGGACAAAGGAAGATGTTTGTCAGGCTCTTCTCAGAAACATTTTAATAGAGAATCTTCTGTTCTGAATTTGCTTCTAATTGTTGTCTTTGTTTTTGTTTGTAGTTCAGTTTCACATCGCGCATTTATACGAGATCCAGGTGAGTCCTTCATTAACATCTCTTTCTTTCACTGACCGCACGTGTTAACCAGTTCTGCTTGTGATTAATGTTAGTGCATGAGATCGTGTTTGTGAAGCGGATGCTGGAGCTTACTGCTCGGGCCGTGTTACCATAGCAACAGGAGAGGGGTTGCCGTGGTGTAGCCGAGGCATCCCTCCTTCCTTCCTGTTCACCACAGTGATGTCACGCAGACGCCGCTAGAGCAGGGTTTTGTTTGAGTCCGTGTGTTTGTGATGGCAGAGACTCGGCGTGTTTACCGGTTAGTTGATTGATGAATGTCCTGTCTGGTTTTGTGGCGTCCCAGAAGAGATACCGTGCAGCCAAAGAGGCCTACGAGAGTCTCCTACAGACGGAGGACTTACCTGCGCAGGTGAAGGCGGCGACCTTACAGCAGCTGGGTAAGAACATGCACACACGGACTGGACACGCTACACCATTAGCGCCCGTGTCTGCTCACAATCTGTGTTTAAGTGCCTCGTAATATAAAAGAATTTCAGCTCATCCAGTGCTGGGATAAATGTTATTAATAAACTCGATGTAAATCTGGTAAACCTGAGAGCTCACACTGCAAAAAAGGCTGATCTTACTTAGTATTTATGTCTTGTTTCTAATCAAAATATCTATAAATTATTAAATTAATATGCTTAATTAAGAGTCCTGTTTGTAAGGGGAATAAACAAAATTAAGTGTGATATTATCTGCCAGTGGGGTAAGTAAAATTATCTTGTTTTAAGAGTATTCTACTTGCCCCACTGGCAGATAATTACACTTGGTTTAAGCAAAATGCACTTCATTTAGTTTTTTCCCCTGTAAACAAGACTAAATATCTGGTCGTTTTGCTTATTTAGTAAAAGCATCTTAATTTTAAGAATTTTTTGATATTTTGACTAGAAACAAGACGAAAATGTGACGTAAGATGAGCTTTTTTTTGCAGTGTGACTGATGCAGAGATACCAGAAAAGCTGTTTATCTGCAGCAGAATCATCAGTGGCTCGTGAACAGCTCTTCACCTGCGAGTCGAGAAGCTCGTTGTTCGCTTTCGAACTGAAGCTACTTTAACAAAAACACGCGCTTGACCGTTCTGCTGTAAATGCATCACTGATCGCTCGGTTTGAGGATAGAGTCTGAAGTGTCCTCCGTGGTAATGATCGCAGACCACAGAGTAGTTAAGCTGAGTTTCACCAGGTGTTCTGCATCTGTCAGCCGTGTGCGGTTTATTCTGTCTGAAAGAGTGTCTCTGTCTGTGTCAGGCTGGATGCATCATACGGTCGAGCAGCTGGGAGACAAAGCTAATAAGGACAGCTACGCCATCCAGTGTCTCCAGAAATCTCTGGAGGCCGATCCGAACTCTGGCCAGTCCTGGTATTTCCTCGGCAGGTCAGTCACACGTCTGCGTATGCGCACGCGGTCCGTTCGGTCGGCCGTGACGCCTGCGTTTATGCAGATGTGGTTTCTCTCTGCAGGTGCTACTCCAGTATTGGGAAGGTCCAGGATGCGTTCATCTCATACAGACAGTCCATAGATAAATCAGAGGCCAGCGCAGACACGTGGTGCTCGATCGGGTGCGTATCTGCCAGATCCATCAGACCTGCTGATGTTTACATGAAGAGCTCTTCGGCCATCGTTACTCGCACTCATGTCACACTTTCATAGCTGAAATTTAATCTTCAGCTCTATTCTATGCATTAACACTTTGATATCAGTTTTAATCACAGTGTTCGTTAATCCTGTATGTGTATAGGATGCGTTAATTAACTTGCCAGCAAAGCATTTTTGTATGCCTCCCTCATCAGACACACCTGATTCATGTCTTGCAGTCTCTACTAACGAGCTGATGATCTGAATCCTCGGGGATTACCCCTGCATTAATAACCCCTGGATTAATAACCCCTGGATTAGATTACCCCTGGATTAATAACCCCTGCATTAATAACCCCTGGATTGTTCGTTAATCCTGTATGTGTATAGGATGCGTTAATTAACTTGCCAGCAAAGCATTTTTGTATGCCTCCCTCATCAGACACACCTGATTCATGTCTTGCAGTCTCTACTAACGAGCTGATGATCTGAATCCTCGGGGATTACCCCTGCATTAATAACCCCTGGATTAGATTACCCCTGCATTAATAACCCCTGCATTAGATTACCCCTGCATTAGATTACCATGACATTCGGTGTTCATCTTGTCAGTGATGTCGAATGTTGTGGCGGACGCTTGACATGTAATTAGTAGTGAATAACGTCTTAAATGTGTGACTGTTGGTTAGGGCTGTGCAATTAATCGAAATACAATTTCGATTTCAGCCTCCAACGATTCGGAAAATACAATAATCGAGATAAAACGATAATTGCGCCCCATTCCGCCTCGTTTCCAGCGGTGCGCTTTCGCTCCTCCATAAAAGCCCAGATTCACCTGCAAATCAGTAAAATCATGTGACTTTTGCAAAATGGGATGTGCTTGATTTATTAAAGTTGATTAGATTTATTCATGTTTTTAAAAGCGCAGGATTTGCAGTCTCTACTAACGAGCTGATGATCTGAATCCTCGGGGATTACCCCTGCATTAATAACCCCTGGATTAGATTACCCCTGGATTAATAACCCCTGCATTAATAACCCCTGGATTGATTACCCCTGCATTAGATTACCATGACATTCGGTGTTCATCTTGTCAGTGATGTCGAATGTTGTGGCGGACGCTTGACATGTAATTAGTAGTGAATAACGTCTTAAATGTGTGACTGTTGGTTAGGGCTGTGCAATTAATCGAAATACAATTTCGATTTCAGCCTCCAACGATTCGGAAAATACAATAATCGAGATAAAACGATAATTGCGCCCCATTCCGCCTCGTTTCCAGCGGTGCGCTTCATAAAAGCCCAGATTCACCTGCAAATCAGTAAAATCATGTGACTTTTGCAAAATGGGACGTGCTTGATTTATTAAAGTTGATTAGATTTATTCATGTTTTTAAAAGCGCAGGATTTCTGTGCATGCGCTCAGAGACGGAACAGAACACGGTCATCTTTTAGCACCTAAACGGTCAAATACATCCATAAATGTGTCAAAATGCAGCGCTTGGTGAGATTAGTGACTTTTTTTATTACTTATGTTTAATTATTTTCAGTAATTTCAGACGAGGAAACGCCTGTATCTTCCCTTGTAATGACTAAACCTGTTGTCCAACAACAAAAAAGAACATTATAACATGCTTTTACTCCACAACATCAGACAAATATTTAAAATAATTTCCTTCTTGATCTGATGTGGCTTCTTATCACAGAATGATGCAGAAATATATTATACTGTAATAACGGCGATTAGCAGTGGATTGTAAATAAATGAAAATTCTGGATGCACTTGGCCGAAACCGAAAATGCTTTATTATTTAATAAAATAATAAATAATCATTACAAAGTAATTTTGTAAGGCTTTTTAATTTAACTAATCACTTTAATGATACTGAATTTAAAAAACACAAGCAATACAATAACCACACTTTTACTGAAAGTAACGCAATAAAACTGGACAGAATTTATATTAATATTGGTAACACTTTACAATAAGGTTAAGATGAACTAAGAATGAACACTAGTTCTTCAGCATTTACTAATGCATTATTAAAATCAACAGCTGTGCTTGTTAACAGTTAATGCACTCTGAATTAACATGAACTAACAGTGAATAACTCTATTCTCATTAACTAACGTTAAGAAAGATTAATAAATACTGTAATGTATTGTTCATTGTTCGTTCATGATATTTAATACATTAACTAATGGAACCTTATTGAAAAGTCACATTAATATTAAATATCAATATATTCTTTTTATTCACTTCTATGTAACAGAATCAGATATAAGTTGTTGTTGTTTCTTATTTGACTAATTATCCAAATGTATAGTCCTACAAAGCTATTATTATCAGAGCATAGCGTCACTGAAGGTAGCATTATTTTAGCAGCGGTGTCCAGCTGAACTAGCCTACAGCACAGGAGCGCTACTGCTAACAGGACTGCTGCATAGAACTCTCCTGTCAGCGCGTTATTTGAGCGGACTTTGCTCTTTCTGTGAGGATGAGCGGTACACGAGCACATTCATGGAGCGTCAAACCGAGCGACGAGGAGAGTGCCATATATATCATATATATATATATATTATCGGCTCGTGTTTTCTGCCATTTTTCTGTTTCAGCTGAAAAGTGTTATAATTATAATAGTGTTTTTTTTTTTTGACTATACAGAAGTGTTCTGGAGTTTTAATTAGTGTTCTGGAGTGTTGTTTTTTTTAATCGCATTTAAAAATGAACTGTGGGCTAACTGTATTGTTGCATCCCTACCATTTACTCTAAAATACTGTATAACAGAAATATCACAAACTGAGTGCAGACCCTAAATATTAACTTATGAAAAATATTTAACATTAAATCTTGCAGCCCCCCTCGGCCACACTGATGGCACTCAAAAAAAAAATTCCAAGGTTGGCAGTTCTGGATATATATCACTATCTTTAAATAAATCATTCATAAAGTTTTGGTCATACGGCTCACTCAGAATCCTGTTAAATAATCGTGATTACAGTAATGACCAGAATAATCGTGATTGATTTTTTTTGTCATAATCGAGCAGCTCTGCTGGTAGTGCAGCGCATCAGGTGCTGTGATTCTTCCAGAATTAATCTTTTGTTTGACGGCAGTAATATCACGACATGAGGACGAGTAAGCGATGGCACGCCTGTGGTTTCTGACCCGCTGCCTCATTGTGTCTGGTTTGCTCTGTTAGCGTGCTGTATCAGCAGCAGAATCAGCCCATGGACGCTCTGCAGGCGTATATCTGCGCCGTGCAGCTGGATCACAGTCACGCCGCGGCCTGGATGGACCTGGGCACGCTCTACGAGTCCTGCAACCAGCCGCAGGACGCCATCAAGTGCTACGTCAACGCCACACGCAGCAAAGCCTGCAGCAACACACCTGCGCTGGCGGCCCGCATCAGATACCTGCAGGTGAGAGCCACACACACCTGTACTGCTGAACGAGTCGTGTAGCCCACGCTAGTGCCGGTGGGTCCGCACCGCTCGACTCGGCTCTGTGTGCGGGTCTCACTACGTGTTGCATTTGTTCTGAATGTGTTCAGTTAATTTGTGTCTCAATCAGATTTCTTTCACCTTCATTCTTCGTTTGTATGCGTGAGTCACTGCAGCTAGAAGCCTCCGTAAATCTAGACTGGTTTGGCATCAGGCCGCACTGCTCTCTGTTTGAACTGTTCCGCCGCACCACCTCAGATGGCTGTTTACATGTCTTTTTCACGCGTTTTCATCCTAGGCTCAGTTCTGTAACCTCCAACACAATAGTCTACAGAGTAAAAGTAAAATGCTTCCTGGTATTGAGGAAGCCTGGAGCCTCCCAATCCCAGCAGAGCTAACGTCCAGACAGGGTGTCCAGAGCACAGGCCAGCAGGTGAGACCAGATAGACACACACGCTTTCACATCTCACCCTTAGAACTGCCTGTCTATGTACAGTGCACAGCATAAATGAGTACACCCCCCTGGCAGCAGTGGAAGCACTCGGGAGAGAACTGCCAGGTGACTTATTTCTTAGCATAAAAGAGGACAATGGTACAAGAGGAATACCAAATTATTGTTTTAAGTGTGAAAATATAGCAGACGTAGCACCAACATTCAGAAACAATGGACTTGTGATGGGGCTGGACAATAATTCAATATCAAGATGTATCGCGATATAATTTTTTTCAATAACGGTGATATGATTTTTAAACACATTTCCGATACTTCGATATCCATTACCAGTGGTTCCTATTACTTTCATTTAGCAAGGATGTTTTAAATTGATCAAAAGTGATAAGGCATTTATAATGTTACAAAATATTTTTATTTCAGATAAATGCTGTTCTTCTAAACTTTGTTCATCAAAGAAACCTGAAAAAGATCTACTCCGCTGTTTTCAACATCATAATAATAAATGTTTTTTGAGCAGCAGATCAGAATATTGGAGTGATTTCTGAAGGATCATGTGACTGGAGTAATGATGCTA